GGGGGGGGGGAGAGAGACCTGGTTCCGTGGGCGAAACATGACACAGAAGCAGGGGCTTAGGGGCGGCCCAGAGGCTAGAGGTGCCGGCGGGCAACCCTGAGAGCGCCAAGCACACTTTTCTGATTCAGAGGCAGCGTTCTGAAGAGACACCAAGTTCCCAGCATCTGGGACTGGCAGTTGTTGGGTTTGCAAAGATGGTTCAGAAGGGGCTGCTCACACATTCAGACAGCCACACAAAGGCATCTGCTCGTGCATTTCCAGCAGCATCAGAAAGAGTCTGGTGAGCAGTACACTTTGTGACAGAGTTCAGAGAGGAGAAGCAAGGCCTGCAGGTGGTTTTATGAAAGAGGCAGGCTGAGCAGGTGAACTTCTTGTTCAGTCGTTCAGTCGTGTCCGACTCTTTGTGACCCCATGAACCATATTGCACCAGGCCTTCCTGTCCTTCACTGCCTCCCTGACTTTGCTCAGTTTCATGCTCAAGTTTCATGTTCAAGGTGAACTTGAAGAAGTCAGAAATCCTCTGTTTTGATATAGTTCCAAAGTCATGCACAACTCCAAAGGCATTTTAGAAATCCATGCACATTTGAGCAGTTTTCCCTTTGGCTAATCTAACTGCACGTGTCAGTGCAACTAGGAAGGTGGAGGAGTGGATTCAGGAGTTTCAAAAGGGGTGCAAACTACATAGCCACTTTTTAAAGAGTCCACTGGAGTTGGGCGGCCATACCGGATTGGTCGTCACCCAGGTCAACAAGGACCATGCTAGGTGTTCTAGTTCCTGAACATCTGGTAACAAGTGGGCTACAAGACTCGGGACTGTTGGCTGAGCAACCAGGGCCAGTAGCTACAGGACTACTGGAAAAAAAAAAGTTGTTTACTGATCACAAATATACAAAGACTGAAAACAAATTATGATCTGCTATTACAAATCAAGTCCAACAAGAAGAGGATATCTGAAAAGAATGCCCCAGTTCTGGAAAGAACATCCAGAATCAGAAATAACAGAGGCTAGCAGATCAACATCGGTTTATAATACGAAATAAAGTATTCACAGAAGTAGAATTGGAAGAACTGCAAAGGCCTACCCAGGGCAAAGAAATTGAAGCCTGGCAGTTGAAGCCTCTACAAGTCTGTAGCTCAGACTGTAGAGGCAAATCAGAGGGAGTGAGCAGTAGAGGAAGCCAGCATAGCTGTTGAGTCATTTTCATTCCCAAACCTCTCCTCTGCCTTCTCCTCAGAAAGAACAAAGCCCTCTAACTAAAAAACAAGAGGAATTGAAACAAAGAATAACTGAGCATCTGGAACAGCACAAAAAGAACAGAATAAGATTGCCTGCTGTGAAACTTGTTACAAAGAAAGAGCTAGCACTAGTATGACAAGATGCCAATACTGTAATATCAAATATGAGCGCCAGCTCACTGCAAGAAACAAACCAACCAATGTACACCATGCGCAAGGGCTTAATGACGCGGGAGTTGCTGGTCAGAGATGATTGGCTCTCCAGCGGTTCGAGCCCAGCTCCGCAGGACAGGGTGAGCTCCTGTCCCTTGTCCTAGCTCCTTGCTCACCCAGCAATTTGAAAGCTA